TCTCTCTCTCTCTCTCTCTCTCTCTCTCTCTCTCTCTCTCTCTCTCTCTCTCTCTCTCTCTCTGAGTGAGTGTGTGAGGAACGGTCGGAGGAGCGTGGTGTGAGTGAGTTACTAACTTTTTCACACGTTTTTCTACTAACATATTTATTGTTTAATGTTGTAAGTTGTGTGTATTGTGTATATGGTTTAAACGTTTGATTGTTGGTGTTTTCTCGTGGTTTGGGTGTGTGTGGTGTGTGTTTGTGTGTACTGTGTGTGTGACGCAGTTGCGGCATGGATTATGCCAGGCTGAGTCGCAAACATGGTTTTAAAATTTCTCCGATGACACCGTGCTCGGTGGAGGAGTGCAGCCTGGCTGTGGGGGCATTAGTGGGGCACGGCAGCATCAGATCTGCGGCTCGGATGAACGGCGGGGTGGTGATATTTGTGGACACGGAAGGGAAAGCGAACAAAGTGGTGGAGACCGGGATCGTTGTGAATGAAACTTTCATTTCCGTGTCTCCACTAACCACCCCTGCTACAAGGGTTATGATTTCGAATATCCCGCCGTTCATACGGGATGACTTCCTGGTGAGAGAGCTGTCTAAATACGGCAAGATAGTGTCCTCCATTAGGAAGCTGTCCTCGGGCTGCAGATCTCCACTACTAAAGCACGTTGTGTCTCACAGGAGAAGTGTCCTCATGATCCTCAATAAGAGAGACGAGGAACTTAATCTGGTGTTAAGTTTAAAGTTGGATGATTTTAATTATGTAATGTTTGTAAACTCGGGGCCTGTCAAGTGCTTCGAATGCGGGGAGGAGGGGCACCTGGCCAGAGCATGTCCGGAAAAAAATAAAAAGCAGGCGGAGGAGGAAAAAAATAGAAAACAGGAGGAGGAGGAAAAAAATAGAAAACAGGAAGAAAACAGGAGGAGGAGGAAAAAAATAAAAAACAGGAAACAAATCCAAAAGAGACTCCTGCTGAAACAGCAGCAGCAGGAAACCCCACTGAGGGGCCCCCGAGGCAGGGTGAGAGTCCCTCAAAGCAAGATGAGAGTCCCTCAAAGCAAGCTGAGAGTCCCCCAAAGTCCCCAACGAAGATTGAGGGTCCCTCAAAGACTCCAAAGAAGGCTGAGGGTCCCCCAAAGCCTCCAAAGAAGGCTGAGGGTCCCCCAAAGCCGCCAACAAAGGTTGAGGGTCCCCCAAAGCCCCCAACGAAGGCTGAGGGTTCAGAGCTCCCTGAGCAGGACAAGGAAAACTCTGGGGAAAAAAAGAGTAATGAGAAAAAGAATGAAAAAAGTGACCTTTTGGTTGATGTGGGGAAAAAGGTTGTCCTGAAAGAAGCAGTGGAGACGGTGGAACTCTCTGCATCCGCTGCAAGCGAAGAGAACATTGAAGCTCAAGCTTGTACAAATAAAAGAAAACAAAAAGAGAAAGTCTCTCAGGCCAAGAGGGTGGCAGTGAGTGAGGAGGGAGAGAGAGAGGAGGAAATGGTGGAGGAGGTGAAGGAGGCAGAGGAGGAAGAAAGTGAGGAAGAATTGATGGAGGAGGATGGAGAAGATGAAGATGAGGAGGAAGGGGACTCTGCTGAGGACAGCCAGCCTCTCACCGTCTCACAAATTAAAAGTCCGTTTTTTAAAGTGCAGCAAATCAAAGCTTTTCTTAAAGAAACAAAAAACAAAAGAGGAGTAAAAATAGAAGAGTTTTTTACTGACAAAAGCTTGTTTTTACAGTCAGTGAAAGCTCAGATGCATCTTTTTACTGAGCAGGAGTCTTATCGCTTGAAGGTCCTGAAAGGGAAGTTACAGCGAGAGATTTTAAATGAAGAAGAAAAGGTCATGCACGGCAGTTAGGATGCTGGTTTTAACATACTTGTTGTTCTTAAGTGGTGTGTCTCTCCTCACATCCTTTTTAATGAGTGATTTTAAAGTGTGCACTTTAAATGTCAATGGAGCTAGGGATGTGGGGAAGAGGGCTTGCATTTATGAGCTTTTAAAATTAAAAAAAGTAAATGTAGCAATGCTACAGGAAACGCACAGCGACACTTTAAACGGGACGGACTGGAGGAGGGAGTGGGATGGGGAGGTGGTTTTAAGTGCTCTTAGCAGCACCAGTGCAGGAGTGGCAGTGCTGTTTGCTAAAGGTTTTATCCCCAAGTCCCACAAAGTGGAAGAAAGAATAAAGGGCAGACTGCTGGTGGTGAGAGCCAAGTATGAGCTTTTTAATCTGGTTTTTATCAACGTATACGCTCCTAATTCAGGTCCTGCAAGAGTTCAGTTTTTAAACGAGCTCAGCGCTGTTTTAAGTGAGTGTGAACCAGAAGAGTTTTTATTTTTAGGGGGAGATTTTAACTGCACACAGGATGACGAGCTAGATAGGAACCATAGGGAACCTCATGCCGCATCCAAAAGAGCCATGACACAGTTAATAGCAACACATAGTCTATCAGACATCTGGAGAGAGCATCACACACATCACAGACAGTACACATGGGTCCACACGAGGGAGAACCTTTTATCAATGGCTAGGCTGGACAGGTTTTATTGTTTTAAGCACCATTTGAATGTTTTTAAAAAGTGTGCTATATTGCCTGTTGGTTTCTCTGACCACTCAATTGTGTTGTGCGATGTTTTTATTGCCAACATAAAAAGCAAATCTGCATATTGGCATTTTAACACTGCTCTGCTTTTAGATACACATTTTAGAGAGGTTTTTATTTATTTTTGGAAAGGTTTTAGAGAAAGGAAGGGGGATTTTAACTCTTTGAAGCAGTGGTGGGATTGTGGGAAAGCCGACATTAAGCAGCTTTGTCTTCAGTACACTCTCAATGTTTCTCGTGATATCACCAAGTCTATGAGAGATCTGGAGACGGAAATAGTGGAACTGCAGAGCTTTGCAGAGTCCACAGGAAATCCAGGTTGTATTGAAGACCTCAAATCTAAAAAAGCCATTTTGGCAGACCTGCTGGGTTCTAGAGCACAGGGGGCGCTGGTCCGGTCCCGATTCCAGAGCGCTTCCATGATGGATTCACCCACAAAGTACTTCTTCAGTCTGGAGAAGAAGAACGGGCAGGGCAGGCTGATCCACGCTCTGAGGTCAGCAGGAGGACAGCAGCTGACAGAGAACAGCCAGATCCGGCAGAGAGCGGTGGACTTTTACTGCGACCTCTTCACCAGTGAGTACACTGAAGATGATGGAGGGTTTAATCTGTTCTGCAGGGGCCCTACCAACAGTCTCTGAAGAGACGAAAAAAGAGCTGGACGGGCCCCTGACTGAGGAGGAACTGTGTGCAGCACTCAAGAGCATGCAGGGGGGGAAGGCCCCTGGAATAGATGGCCTCCCCCCAGAGTTCTCCAAGACATTTTGGGACTTTTTAAAAGAGGCTCTAATGGACCTTTTTAATGAAAGTTTTAATGACTCTTTCCTCCCTCTGAGCTGCAGAAGAGCCGTTTTAACACTCCTTCCGAAAAAAGGCGACTTACAGGAAATAAAGAACTGGAGGCCCGTCTCTCTGCTGTGCACCGACTACAAGCTGTTGTCCAAGGCCCTGTCCTCCAGGCTGAGGAAGGTGATGAACCAGGTGGTAGACCGGACCCAGACCTACTGTGTGCCCGGCAGGTCAATTGTTGACAATGTGTCACTAATTCGAGATATTTTGGAAGTCTCTGGTTCTTTGGGTTTCGACACTGGTCTGGTTTCATTGGACCAGGAAAAGGCTTTTGACCGGGTTGAGCACCGTTACCTGTGGAAGGTGCTGGAGAGGTTCGGCCTCAGCCCGGGCTTTATCGCCAAGATAAAGGTGATGTATGTGAACATTGAGAGTGTGCTTAAGATAAATGGCGGTCTGTCTAGACCCTTTAATGTGACCAGGGGGATCAGACAAGGCTGCTCGATGTCAGGCATGTTGTACACACTGGCAATAGAACCCATGCTACACAATATCCGCTCTTTTAACGAGGGCCTGGTTTTACCTGGTTTTAATACACGTTTTATTTTATCGGCCTATGCAGACGACATCATTGTTTTTATAAAAAATCAACAGGATGTTTTAAAGCTAGGGCAGGTAGTGGACACTTTCCAAAAGATCTCCTCTGCAAAGGTCAACTGGGCTAAGAGTGAGGCCCTAGCAGTGGGGGAGTGGACTGGTGGCCTCCCTCAACTCCCAGGTGGGTTGACATGGAAGAGGGGTGGTCTAAAATATCTGGGAGTCCATCTTGGAGATGAGGTCACACTGGAAAAGAACTGGGAAGGATTTTTAGAAAAGGTGGAGGGGAAACTCAACAAGTGGCGCTGGTTGCTTCCACACATGTCCTACAGAGGCAGGGTGCTGGTCATCAACAACCTGATAGCATCCAGCCTCTGGCATAAGCTAAAGTGTGTGGAGCCCCCTGCTGGTCTTTTAAAAAAGCTGCAAGGCATTATTTTAAATTTCTTTTGGGATAAGTTGCACTGGGTTCCTCAGTGCACGCTGTACCTGCCAAAGGAAGAAGGGGGGCAAGGGTTGGTGCACCTGGAGAGTCGAGCAGCTGCTTTTAAACTACAGTTTTTACAAAGATACCTGACAGGAAGCGATGAGGTCGTCTGGGGGCCGGTAGCCAGCACCATTTTAAGGGGGGTAGCAGGCCTGGGTTTGGATGTGTCATTATTTTTAACAAATTGTGATTTTACTCGTGTGTGTGTTTTGCCTGCGTTTTACAAAGGACTTTTTAAAGTATGGACACTTTTTAAATGGGCCAGAGTGGGTCCCGCAGCATCTCTGTTCTGGCTCCTGGAAGAGCCTCTGGTGTGGGGGGCCCGGCTGGACGTCCAGGATGGCAGCAGACCTGCACTCACTGAGAGGCTTCAGTCCATTGGGGTCGTGAGGCTGAGGAACATCGTGGATGCTGCAGGTCCTGGACTCCACAACACCGAGGCCGTGGCCTCTCTGCTCGGCCTGAAGTCGGCCCGCCACACCAGAACCATCCTGAACGAGTGGATTAAAAGACTATCTGATGATGAGATGGAGATGCTGCGGGAGTATTCCAACAGGAAGGAAACCCCTGACGAAGGGGACCCTTTTCCGGACATTGGGTTTTTAGCAGACCAGGATGGACTTCATGCAGACTTCCAAATGCTTAATGGGAAAGGTTTTTATAGACTCTGCACTCTGGCCCTGAACAAACAGAAGCTAAGCGAGAGGAGAGACACGGTGTGGAAACAGAGGCTTAACGTCCCGGGGGCCTGTGAACCAGTATGGAGGCTATTCTACAAACCTCCACTGAACAAGCGGTCAGGAGACCTGCAGTGGAGGATCCTCCACGGGGCCCTGGGTGTTAACGCCTTTGTGTCGAAGATAAACCCCACCGTGTCCTCCGAGTGTCCGTTCTGCACTCACAGAGAGACGATCACTCACTGCTACCTGGACTGCCACAGGCTGAAGCCTCTTTTTAATGTTTTAAAAACTGTGTTTTTAGACTGTGGGGAGGTTTTTACAGAGACTGCTTTTATTTGTGGTGCTGGCTACAAGAAGCAGAATGCAGGGAAGTGGGAACTGTTGAATTTTATTGTGGGGCAGGCAAAAATATCGATCTACAAAAGCAGGAAAAACAAAATAAACAGTACAGCCGGTCAGCAACTCACTAACATGTTTTTATCTTTGGTAAAGACACGAGTGAGCGTAGATTTTAGATTTCACTGTCTGATGAGAAGCATGGAAGAGTTTTTAACCCGGTGGTGTTTCACTACAGCTGTGTGCTCTGTGGTGGGGGAGGAGCTCACTTTTAACTCTGTCTTTGTGTAAGGAAAGAAAAAAAGGGAATTTTTCTCTCTCAATGTGAATAAGCGAATCATTTAGTTTGATTGTTGAAATTCTTAATAAAAGTTTTTTTAAAAATCTCTCTCTCTCTCTCTCTCTCTCTCTCTCTCTCTCTCTCTCCAGGCTGTGAGCACTCAGTCTGTACTTTGTCAACATCTTCCTGTGTTTAACATCAGTCACTGTGCTCAGGTAGGCTGCCACAGTGTACTGTCTTTTTAGGGCCAGATAGCATTGCATTTTACTTTGTGTTTGGGATTTAGTGTTCCAATAAGTGAGGTCGTTTTTTGTGTGTTTTGTTATAATCTGGTTGACTCTAATAGTTGTTGGCTCAGACTGGTCTTGAGGCAGAACAGTGTGAACCGGTTTGTGAACAGAGTGTCATGACCAGCTGAGAGAGGGGACTCATCATACTTGTTCATCTCGTGATGCTGCAGGGCTTTGTGGTGGTAGGAGTGGGGGTCACTTTCTTTTAGATGTAGCCAATATTTAATTGATCGTTTCTGGATCTCTCTCTCTCTCTCTCTCCGCCCGAACCCTCCTCTCCATGTTGCGTCTGTCCACTGCCCTGGCTAGCTGGGTGATTCTCACGAAACCACCTTTGGTCATGTCTGTGAGGAATTGACAGACAAAAATAATCAAAATAATCAATTCTATATCAAACTGCATTGTGTATTGTATGTGGTACTATTGCTATTTTTGTAGTTGAGGTAGTAATTCATATATTTTGTTACCATTTTTCCATGTAGAAATTCATTACCGTAATGCGTCCGGAGTTTATTTTTTTACATTTAACCCCAAAATATCACAATAAATCTGCACAATTTAATACATAAATACAAAAAATTGTTGAAATGGTACATTCTTACTGGTAATATAATTATTTTGGGTTTAAGATTTATGAATTAAAATATTTTTGGATTAATATGTGTGTCCGGAGCATGTGAAGTTCATTACCGATGCACTGCCTATTTGGCCCCATTACAATTCCTGTTTGTTTAAATTAGTTTTGTTTTTACCCATGATGCATTGCATGGAAGAGAAGATGCAAGATGGCTACAAGGTAAGATGTCCTTTCAAGGTCAAGCTATAGATATGTTAAAGATTCCATTTACTGACACCCCAGTGTACACTACTAACTGTCATTACCGTAATGGGATATTATATCATGTTTTTTTTTTTTTAAAGTGATTGATTCCAAAATCAATAGAAAAGTAGCTTTTATAGAGCCAGAATGATAGTACAAATATTTCTTTTGTAGCATCATGGCTATGCTAACTATTATGCTAGCTAGTTTTATGGTCATTCATTACCGTAATGCTCTGCATTCATTACCATGTCATATAGGAGGCTGTTACGGTAATGAACAAAATTGTTGCTGTAATGAAATAAATGTGTGCAGCTATGTATGGTGAGCTTTAACTATAACGAAATAATTTATATATATTATTTGAATCTAATTTATTTAATGAATACTGAATCCCTCTTGAAATTAAGTTCAGAAAAGGTGGAAAGGAAAAGGGCAGCTTCCAAGGTGAGGGTGGTGAAGCACAGAGAGAAAGTGTACAGCAACCCAGAGCTGCTGGAAGAGTACAGAAGGAAGGAAAGAGAGAGGTTAGAATAGGACATCTTCACATTGTGTGTGAGAGAGAGAG